AGTCACCCATTCCAGCTGTGTGTGGATCCTAGTTTTCAAAACTAGGCAGGCTGCCAGTGACTGGTATGACAAAGGCAGCTGGGAGACTAAAGCAGTTAACTAGCTGTGTTCGCTAGCAGAAGAAGGCAGGGAGGTAGGGTTGTTTGTCATTTTTTCTTTCCTTATCTTGCAGGTACTCCACAAGGAAAACCAGCATGTCACCAACACCGCTGCTAGCTCCTCCTCTCCCTGCACCTGTGGTGGCCTCCGTCAGACAGTCATCCTGACCCTTGAGCAGAGGCAACAAGTAACTGTGGCTAGTGCATTGGCTCTGCCTCCACCTCCTGACTCACCTCAGTGGACAGTCTGCAAAGCAGGCAGCGGAAAGCGCTGGGACTCCAGCAGCGAGGAAGGAGAAGCAGCCCTATGTAGCAGGGGTGGAGGGGAGAGGGAGGAGGCTCAGCCAGTTGCTCTCAGGGAGAGATGCTGCCTCCTTGCTCCTGGGCATCCTAGCAAGAGGCATCCTGAGAAATCTGGGGGACGGGGGGCGGAGCACGTGACCCCACGTGTCCCCCATGCATCGCCTCTGGTCTGGAGGCTTCCATACCGGCCCTGGTCTTGCTGGGAATGCAGGCTGCATGTCACTGCCAATGAAAGCCATGCAGGGGAACCACCCTGTGTGAGAGGTGTCTGTTGGTGGAGTCCCCTAGGAAGCAGATAAGAGAGGTGCAGGAGGAGGTGGCTTGCCTGTGTAACATGAGGACTTCACTAACAGGACACACATGGAGACATCTGGGATGGAGGATGCTGGCTGACTATAGATGACTACAGCAGAACCAAAGGAGGAACTGACTGCTGGCCACCTCGGGGAGTAGACAGCACTTTACCCCCCCACCCAGGTCCCCCGTTCATCGAGGTGAAAAACCACTCTTCTGTACCAGAAACAGAAGGCGATGAGCAGACCCCACTGGCTGAGGAGAAAGATCCACTCGCCCCCAAGGCTTGAAAGCTCAAGACCACCACACCCTAGAGGTGGAGACATAGTGAGTTGATGGTGAGGGACTCTCTTCTGAGGGAAATGGAGGCATCCATCTCCCAACCTGACATGATATCCTGGGAGGTGTGCTGCCTGCCTGGAGCTTGCATCTGAGACATTATGAGAAGGTTGCTGAGGCTCATCCTTCCCTCTGATCACTACCCTATGCTGCTCATCCACATGGGCACTAAGGGTCAGACCTGGCGGTATCATGAGCAGATCAGCAGTGACTACAAGGTTCTGGGATCAAGGGCGGAGGAGTTGAGGATGGAAAGGAGCAAAACCTGCACCACCAAGGACATGCACTCCTGAAGATGAATTCACGGCTGAATAGATGGTGTCAATGTGAGCTTCCTCAACCACAGGATGCTGTTCCAGGAAGAAGGTGTTCTGGAAGGAGATGGGGTCCATCTGACCAAGAAAGGAAAGATAATCTTGATGCATGGACTTGCCAACCTAGTGAGGAGAGTTTTAAACTAGGTTCAAAGGGGGCAGGTAGCAAAAACCACAGGTAAAAGTATACAAAAAGACAACTTTAACAGAGAGTTAGATTTGGGGAGGGGGACACGGAAAATTACAATAGAGTCATAGGAACCACTAAGGGGAAATCAGTGAGGGAATCTGATCAACATCTTACATATCTATACACAAATGCAAGGAGTATGGGGAATAAATAGGAAGAACTGACAGTAGTAGTACATAAACTGAATTATGACTTAATTGGCATCACAGAGACTTGGTGGGATAAATCTCATGACTGGAATATTGGTATGGGGGGTAGCTTGTTCAGAAAGGACAGGCAGGGTAAAAAAGGAGGAGACATTTCATTATACATCAAGAACATATACACTTGTGCTGAGGTCCAGAAGCAGGTGGGAGACAGACCAGTTTAGACTCTGAGGTAAAAAATAAAGAGATAAAAGAGGTAACCTCATGGGAGGAGTCTACCATAGACCACCAAATCAGGAAGAAGAGGTGAACGGGGCATTTTTAGAACAAATAACAGAAATATCCAAAACACAAGACCTGGTAGTAAAGCGAGATTTCAACTATTGAGACATCTGTTGAAAAAGTAATATAGCAAAAAACACAATCTCCAATAAGGTCTTGCAACGTATTGGGGATACCTTTTTGTTCCAGAAAGTGGAAGAAGTAATCGGTAGACAGCCATTTTAGACTTAATTCTGACTAAGAGGGAGGAATTGGTTGCGGATCTGAAGGTGGAAGGCAATTTGGGTGAAAGTGATCATGAAATGAGAGATTTAATGATTATAATGAAAGGAAGGAGTCAGAACACATAGACTTCAAAAAAGTAGACTTTAGCAAACTCAGAGAACTGGTAAGTAAGGTCTGAGGGGGCGAAAATGTAAGGGATAAAGCAGTTCAGGAGAAATGGCAGTTTCTCAAGGATATATTAAAGGCATAACTGCAAACTATCCTGATGTGAAGAAAAGATAGGAAGAATAGAAAGATGCCAATATGGCTCCATCAGGAGCTCTTTAGTGAGGTGAAAATCAAAAAGGAACCCTACAAAATGTCTAAATGTGGAAGAATTAGTAGTAGAATTGAGCAGGTGTCCTTTGCTCTGTTATTTGATAGGATAGATAATATGTTCAGGATATAAGGGCATTTCCACTTTTGTCCAGATGTGTTTTTGTTTGTTTGGGTTTTTTTTTCCTCTTTGTTCTAACATAGTTCAGTTTTACAAATGCTCCCATAGGCCATGGTCAGTGAGGCAAGATACAGCGAAAATGCATTCAGAATATTTTGAAAAATGACAAATGGTATCCTTTATAGGTAATTTGGCTTAAAACATACCATAGAAACTTTTGTCATGTTCTTTATCGTGTTTAACTGGAACATATTTCAACAAGGTTGGTTTTTTCAGAATGTTTGTTGATATGATTCAATTAATAAACTAGATTTCAAGTTCTATGCCTGTTATAAAATGATCAGTAGTAAAGTCATTTTCACAGAGCTGCTTTTTGCATATTATCCTTCCATTGACTGGATTCATTGGTATATCTTTATTTGTCTCAGACACTAAGGATATCAGTGATCTAATATAAACTGCATTGCCTGATGGTCAGAGCCTGTCATTTTAAGTTACTTTCCCAGCAACCCATTCACATACTTACTAAACAAATATAGATATTATACTATTGAGCTGGTTGCAGGGCCAGTCAGAGGGGGGGGGCATTTGGCCTGGGCCTCAAGCTCAAAGGGGGCCTCAAATTTAGACACTGGTTAATTTTTTGGCATTTGATGAGTTTCACAACTTGTTTTTACGCGCATCCCTATCGGACCAAAATGTGACACACACTCTCAGCTTAGAGCTGCAAATTTAATCAAATAAGAGATGTGATTTGGTAAAAGACATTTTTTTTTGTTAACTGATATAGATTTTGTCATATTAAAGAGTTTAAAATGTTCATAAATATTAATAAAAATATATTGGTTCTGATGGCACAAGATTAGACCATGATGAACGTGTCCTCTCAGATCAGCTGATTATTTAAACAAACCACTACTAGTGGCTGGTGCTGGATCAAGTACGTGTTGAAAGGTAGAGAATTGTTACTTTTTAGTGTCTTTATAGTTTTATGTCTAGTTGACTAAGGAATTATTTATGTGTGAGAATTCCTCATTATTATCTTCATATGGTAGCTAAAAGAGGTGACTGGTTGTTGAACCCTAGCTTGGTAGTTTGGCCCTCATCATAGGCTTTCAAAGTCTATAGGCCCAGATGCAAGGTGAAAATTTGTGAGGACAATCTTGTACAGTGAGTTTCGTGAGGACATACGTTTGAAATTTTTGGACATTATCCCTCCGTCTGTATCAGTGTCTGTGTTTACTATATATGTGTCATCCCTTTGTCTTCAGCTCAGCCTGTTATATTATACCTTGTGTGCTTGAGTTTTGATTCAGTGTTAAGGATAATAACCATCTGACTGTTTCCTTTTGTGTTCTTAATTAGTATTCCTTTGTTTTAAGTCTTTTCAGCATTTGTGTACATGTTTACAGTAGACTATTTCAAGTGTATATAAGCTACTTATTTACAGCAGAATGTTTCAAGTGTGGACAGGCTACATTATTGACCAGATAGATCACTATGAAGAGGAGATCTGAAAGTGGTGTAAGCAAGAGACGTGAAAACAACTGAAAAAACAGCTAAGAACTCAAAGCCAATAACTTCATTTCTCAAACCACTGGAAAACACACCTTACGCAACAAACAATGCTACAGATAATGAAAACTCCGCAACTGCAACAGGTGATATTTCAATGCCAATATCTGAACATGAGGACAGTAGTCAAGAAGGAGATGTGCCAACAGTAACAGATGCAGCAGAAGAGCCTGTGTATAATCAAGAAACTCAACAGAAACAGGAAGATGTAGATCTTACGCAGCAAGAGCAATTCATGAGTACTACAGGTTCGACTGTGACTGACATTGGAATTATTGACAAGAGCAATGCTGCCCAAATGCAATCTTTTCTTCAAATTAGTTGTTTTGAAATTCCAAGTAACATTCCACGAGATGCTGACAATCATACTTTCCCTACTCATCTGCTGACAAAAACTCTTCCAAATGGTGAGACCTGCACAAGAGACTGGTTATGCTGGAGTATGGAAAAACAATCTCTGTACCGTGCGCGCTGCTTCATTTTGAATAAAAGTGCTGCAAATGCATCAGTTCTCTCTGATCAATCAGGATGGAGCATCAACAGAGGTTGGAGGAAGTTAAAAGACCAAATATCATCACATGAGAGTTCAATGTCACACAAAAAAAACTGTTGCATGGAAATCAGCCAGTAGGGCAGCATCAGCGGAAAGTTCAGTTGAGAATTTACTCTTGACTGAACTCTCTACAGAAACTAATAACTGGAAAAAACTTCTTGAGTGCATCCTGAATGTCATCTTTTTTCTTTCTGAGTGGGGATTGGCTTTCTTTGGTTCCAGTCAACGTGTTGGTGATCGTGCAAATGGAAAATTTCTAGGCATAGTTGAGCTCCTCAGCAAATATGACCCACTTTTATCAGGGCATGTTAAACATGTTCGAGAATCACAAGAGAGTCAAAAGTGCATGCAAGTCCATTATCTCTCCACACAAATAGAACAAAATGACTTTATTGAGCTATGTGGGTCGGTCGTACAAACAACAATTCTTGATGAGATTCTAAATGCCAAATATTTGTCAATCATGGTGATGCCACTCCAGATTGTTCTCACAAGGAACAGACCACTATGGTTATTTGATATGTTAAGATTGTAGACAGCTCAAAATTTTCAGTTGAAGAAAGGTTTATTTTGTTTGATAATTTCAAGAGAAAAACTGGAAAAGAAATTGCTGCTAAGGTACTAGCAATTCTAGAAGGTTTCAAGTTAGATTTTCAAGTCTGCATTGGTCAAGCCTCTGACAATGGATCTAATATGGCTGGGAAGTACAAAGGTGTACAAGCATTTCTGCTCGAACATAATTCAAACTGTATTTTCTCCAGCTGTGGAAACCACACACTAAACCTTGTAGATGTTGATGTTAGAGGCTTATTCCTTCACCCGCTTACTTCCCTGGTCCTTCTTGCATGAACAGAGAGCAACAATACCCAAAGTCCAAAGGTGCAAACAATTCGATGTTTACTGGGGTGAACTTCCAGCAAGTATGATTCCAGTTTCCTTCCTTAGCGTCCCCCTTCCCAGCTCTGACACCACAGAGCCTTACCTGTGTCCCTGTTCCCATTCTCCCCCTTAGCAAAACATGATTCCAATTTCCCCACCACCATTCCCTGTTCCCATTCCCCCCCTTACTTTCTGATTGACTGCAGACTATATAGTAAAACTTGAGTTCTGCTTAGCTATACCTTAACCAATCATTTTACTGAAATTTAACTAACCAATCCTAACATATTGTAACATGATTATTTAACCAATTATATCCCACCACTTTAATTAGTTTACACCCAGCAAAATTAATTATACAGCAGACAGAAACAACCACAGAACCAAACAGAGATTATACAGACGAACAATAGGAAATGGGGACTACAATGATAGAACAAACACAAAAATGAGGATTTCACATCCCAGCTATTGATAGGTGAGTTCTTGCCAGGCAGGGTGCTATCAAACTAAGTTTCCTTTTACATTTTCTAGGCACTTCCTTTTCTCTGGAGGTGATAGGCACTATCAGGACAGGATTGTATTCCTAACCGCCCAATAGCACCTTATTTCAATGTGACTAGTTTGGAATGTAAAGATGTGACCATTCGCTTCCCAGCTTATGGCTGCCTCTGCTGCTTAGCCAGAGCCCTAAACCTAAGAACAGGGCCTCAGACTGTCACAGTGAGAAAAGGCCTTATACAGTCAGACAATGATTTTGGTTCTCTCTTTTATACCTCTATAACTAGCTAAGTGATAAGAATACACCTAAATTCTTAGAGTTTAGGCCTTTTACAGACAGGCCTGAATATCTATATCCTAACACTGTGCTGAATCATGCAAGGAGTCAATTACTTACTTTGGAACTGTTCAGCAAATGTACAATCTCTTCAGTAGCAGTCCACAAAGGTGGGAAATTCTGAAGGAATATCTTCCTGTTTCACTGCATGGGATGTTCAAAACTAGATGGTCTGCATGGAGTAATGGTGTTCAACTAGTTGCGCAGCATTTGAATTCAGTGAGAAAGGCTTTAAATGAGCTTGTATCTCAATCTCACTGCACAGGCTCAAACTGAACTTCAAATTTGGACATGTGCTTCTGAAGAGACTGAATGCATTCTGATGTCATCTTTGTGGATGAAGCTACATACAATGATCCACCGAACATTAATCTACATTTAATCTGGTAAATGAAGCAGGCAATGCTACACTTGATGTTGAGAGGGATAACATTGAAAGTCTTATCAATGACATTCAACAGATTTGTGAACAATGGGATGCGATCCTGAGTCCAAATTAGTAACACAGAATATTGGCATTTCATCTCAGTTCTCCACCAACTGCAACTTATCTAGTGAATCCGATGCCGAGCAGCATTATAGGGTTAATGTCTTCCTTGTCATCATTGACTCTATTCAATCAGGGCTTACATGTCGATTTGAGTCAATGTGACTAATTTGTAACCTTTTGGGGTTTCTTTGGCAGTTCAACAGATTGGGTAATGAAGATCTACTTTCTGCAGCTGAACCATTTCAGCAACAGTACAACAAAGAAATCTCAAAAGATCTCAGTGATGAGATCATCTTCCTTAAACGAATATATTCCACAAACTTTAAACTGGATTGCAACCCAAAGGAATTGCTTCAAGAAATACTCGAGCTTGGACTCTCTGGGGTGTTTACTAATATCACAATTGCATTGTGTATTTCTGTCAGTTTGCCTGCATCAGTGGCTTTAGGTGAATACACCTTCAATGTGTTGAAGCAGGTAAAGAACTATCACCGTTCAACTATGGGACAAGAGCATTTGAATGGGCTCGCCATGCTTAATATCAACTGAGACATTCCACGAAAGCTAGATTTTTTCCCTCAATAATTAGTGCATTGGCACAGAAAAAGGCTAGAAAAGCATTTGTTAAAAAAATATTCAAATTATGTCTCTTTTTTTGGTGCCTTATTTTGTTTTCATGTCATTTTTTATTTTTATTATGGCTAGGGGCCTCAAAAGCTGGAAGTGACCTTGGCCTCTCTGGACCTCTGAGAGGGTCTGACTGGTTGAAGAATCTTCGTTTTTATTCAGGTCTGTCCCTGAAGCGGTGTTTCTAGGCTTACCTTCAAGAGTTCTTGATGGCATCTTCCAACTGCCTCACTACCCCACACCTTAAAACAAGTTATCCTCAGTGTATCACTCTTCCTAGCCCAAAACTGCATTCCCTCAGGTCTTTGTTCAGCTGTCTGGGTCCCTGCACTCTGGGTCCCAGTATCCTTAATAGTCCTGACCTCCCCAGTTATCTCAGTGCCCTCAGTCCATGCACCTGAGTGGCAGGAACGCATGTGTTCTTCCCTTTTGGTGTTTGTGATGGTCTGGCCTGTCCATGCGCTGCTGAGTGCTCTCCAAACCTGGGACCAGAACATTGGGTTAGTCGCTGTTGCTCTATCCACGAGTCTGGGAGTTCAGACATCTCACATCCAAGGATAGTGTAGGCACCTATCTGCATTCTCATCTCTCCTTAATGGGAGGGGGTTCATAAGTCCCTATTCAGGCACCACATGTAAAAGCATTCACAGTCCCTGTGTGTGTACCCCATCTTAATTTCACCCAATTGGGGCAACAATGAGTTCATTTCAACAGCCTGGGGGCTGGGGAAAGGGGAAGTCAACATTCACTAACAAATGGGACATCCCCTTTTAATACAGTTTAAGGACAGGAGAAAGCACAATACACAGTTCATAAGGTCCTCACATTAGGGCCCTAGTTCAACTCCCAAACTTAATGTTCACAAACAAGGTTTCTAGTTAGACTAGTCTAGAGCCTGAGAGGAAACAACCCATGTATTCTGCACAGCTTCTATTCCCTTCTCCCTTGGTCAGTTTCCTCTTCCTGTTTATAGAGCCCAGCCCTAAGGCAGGGCATGGCAGGACCTTCTTGATTACATCCCAGGCTTTCGGCTCCAGTCTGTCCCTTAAATGGATAGTACGCTCCTTCACACTCCCACATAGCAACTCTTATGTAGGGTAGCTCTTATTTCCCAAAAGTCTTGTTTAAACTCCTTCTTCCCTTTGGTTCTGATGTCTTTTACAACACAGTAAGCTCAAGCTTGGCAGCACGAGTTTTATCCACCAATCTGTGAGCACAGGTTAGATCTACTACCTTGTTTGGATTTTTGATGACCTCTGTGAAGAATGTATTATCACTTTCATCTTACAAGAAAAGTAAGTAAAAACACAGTTGTTGTGTCTTTGGGCTGTGGATTTGATGATAAAGTTATTTTGTTAATTAATAAACCCCCAGAGACTCTGAATGACTTCCCTGTGTGGCTCTCCATACGGATATTGTTGATTTCACTCATGACATATATACCCATAGTATAGATAAATCCCTGTCTTCTAACACAAAGGCAGCTCAGTCGACTGATTCTGCGAGCTCCCAGCTTCTGCTAACTCTGTCGACATGTACTAACATAAGAGACAGCAATTACAAACTTTAGTAAATATAACCTTATACCTTTTAAATTTATATACATATAAAGTTGGCCCTTTTTAAAAACCAAAAGCATTTCATATACATATATTTATTTTAAAAACAAATATATTCCACTGTTAAACACTTTGGTTGTTCCTTCATTGGGTTCTGGTGACACACTGAAGCAGCTGGCTTAATCTCACCAAGATATAAAGGAGGTGAGAGTGGCTGACTAGAGAGAGGCTCTTGAGTAAGAAGCAACCAAGCCTTGGGAGAAAGTTTTTGAGCTGATCTTTCAGCTCAAGCCCAAGGCCTGGCTGCTTCTAGATTTCCTTCATCACTATTCAATGTCTGATAATTTGCTTTCTTTACTGTTCCCTCATGCTTCCTCCTCCCCGTTGCCTCCCCACATCAACCTATTGTATCTATATCTAATTTAGACTGTGACTTTTCGGGTGGGGCTGGAGGGAGACTATCTTTTGAGGGGTGTCTGCAAACCAACTGGGACAGTGGGGCTCTGCTGACAGATTGGTGCAGTAGGCATGGCTGCAATACCAATAATAAATAAAATAATAATGTTTGTTATCGTTAAACTGTGCTAATAAACCAAACCACAGAAAGATGGTGAATTTGGAGTCTACATAAGGGGCCAGAGATGTTCAGACAGAAGTACACTTAAGTCCACGTACAAGCTGAGGTTCTGGCCCAGCATGAGGACTGTTTTAGAGCTGGTTGGGAATGACATTTACTCACATAATTCTATATCAATTTGTTTATGGAAAAACATGTTAATGTAAGCCTCAGAACTAAAAGGCTTACAGGGATGGGAAAACTCAGCTCTGGCCAGTGCCATTTACATAAATTATATTGTTGGTTGCCTACAGTTCCACATAACGTGTTTTGTTGCTTTAGTTGGAATTAATCTTTGTTCTGATTGTATAAATGATAACATATTGTTACTGTACATATTGTTACTGTTACTCATAAAAGGGCATAGGTATTGTGTAAGACATGCTTGGAGTATGTGGGTCACCATGACCGTACAGGTCATGGACTCCAGTTTGGGAACAGGATTCAAGCTCACAATATTGACAACATTAAAGGTTAATAAATCATGAGTCAGACCCTCAAAAATCATGAGATTAAAAAAATTGTATGGTTTTTGGGCCAAAGATTATATTGTGTTTTGGGGTCTGACTTTTGAATTCCCTGTGTCCATCCCCTCTGAGCGTGAGAGTGTGCCCACTCTCCCAAACATATTAGGTAAGATGATTTTGGCCCTTGTTGCAGGAGTTCTCACTCCCATATCTTCCTGCCTAGCAATTAATTCTGCCCCCAACCTCCAAATCAATCCTGCCGCCCATCAGTTCTGCCTGCCTAGCCCTGCATCAGTTCTATCTGCCCTCCCCACCCCGCCCCCATCTGCCCAGCTTCCCATCAGTTCTGCTCTCTAGCCTCACCTCTGTTCCTCCTGGGGTTCTTTACCCCCTGCTCCCAGGCCTGGGGGCCAGCTGCAGTGGGGTCCCCTCTATCCCTTTCAGGCTGGGGGAACACTTCCAGGAGCTCTTCAACCCCCTCTGCCCCTTCTCAGGGGGGATGTTGCAGCAAGGGAGGGCGCAGAAAGAGGAGCTCTCCTGTTGTTCACAAGAGGGCTGAGGGAGGAGGGAGTGGAGCCGCCCTGAGCTTGCCGAGGTCTTTCTGCTCCCTCCTTCCCTCTCTCCTTGCTGAGGGAAGCAGGAGAGAGAGCGCTGCAGTAGCCCTGATTGGCTACTCTTTCTCAGGAGGTGCCCAAAGGCGGAAAGCAGCCAACCAGGCAGGGTTTCTCTCAGGCCAGGCTGAAATTTGCTAGAGAGTTGGAGCTTCTCCTGTCATCAGCAGATGGGCTCCAGCCCATCCAAAATTCCATTACTCGCCAAAAAAAAATAGTAAGCTGGCAAGGCTGAGCTCAGCAAGAAGAGGTTTCTGTTCCAGGAACCAAGCACTCTCTCCAAAGGCCCTGTTTTGCTATAGTCTCCCAGTTAGAGATTGATTCAGAAGGACTGGACTGGACTGGCAGAGGAGTGGTTCAGAGCTGACTTCACAGTAACAACAGGGCTGGACCAGTGGTGGCAGTGCAGAGCTGACGTCACAGCAGGGCTTGACTGGACTGGAAGCAGCACAGAGCTGGTTTCACATTGAGGGCAGACCAACAGCAGCAGAGCCAATGTCTGGAACTCGACCAGATAGCTGCAAATCAGAACAGACTATGCTGGGGTGGACTTCACTGAACTGGAGTAGAGAGACAGAAAAGAGCCAATCCTGATGCCCCTGACTACCACTGAATCTAACTAGAACTGTGAGTGAGATTTTTGGATAATAAGTAAGGCTACGATTTAGTCACGGAGGTTGCTGGAAGTCATGGATTCCGTGACTTCCAGTGACCTCTGTGACTTCAGTGGTGGGGAGCTGCAGGGTCCCCCACCGCCCACAGGAGCTGGGAGCTGTGGGGTACCCCACCACCTCTGGCTGCCCCTGGAACGCCCCTGCCACTTGTGGCAGGGTTCCCTGCAGCTCCCAGCCGCTGCAAGAGGTAGCGGGGGGACCCCCAAGCTTCACAGCGGCAGGGGAACTCCCGAGCTCCCAGCTGCCACGGGTCCCCGAGCTGAGGGTGGTGGGATACCCTGCAGCTCCCGGTTGATATGGGAGCCAGGGACACCCAATGGCTCCCTGCCCCCATGGGCAGTGGGGGATCTTTGGAGCTGCAGACAGCAGGGGCACCCCGCAGTCCCCAGCTGCTGCAGGTGGCTCCTAGCCCCTGCACAGCTGCCCTGCTTCAGGCAGTGTGGGGATCCGCAGATCCCCATTTTGACCCAGATATTTTTAGTAGAAGTCAGGGACAGGTCACGGGCAAAAACAGAAAAATTCATGGAAGCCATGACCTGTCCCTGACTTCTACTAAAAATATCTGGGACAAAATCTTAGCCTTAACCATGAGGTCTAACTGGACTCACAAGGTGGGTAGAGATTGTTTTGTGACTGGACCTCAACAATTCAAATTTGAACTGTGGGATGACCATACTCCTGACCTACTGACTAGGTTTTGTTCATTTGTGTGGGGGACAGGGACACGACAGGGTGTTTCTTTTGCTTCCTGTATCCCTTTTCCCCAAAATAAACAGTATTTGTGATTCCATATTCCCAAAGACTCCTTAGGGATGGTGGGGATGGACCACCTTCAAAAGTGACCAGGGAAATTAATGTTTAGTTTCCCTGGCCTAGAAGGATTACAACTCGGGGTAAGGGCGGTTCAAGACATCATTTGATTTACTTTAGAAAAGGACCCTGAGACAGACTGAACCCAGCCCTCGTTGCTGCTTTTGGCATCTGGCAAAAGGGTTACATCAGGGATTCTCAAACTGGGGGTCATGACCCCTCAGGAGGTCACAAGGTTATTACATGGGGGTTCACGAGCTGTCAGCCTCCACCCCAAACACCTCTTCACCTCCAGCATTTATAATAGTGTTAAATATATAAAAAAGTGTTTTTAATTTATAAGTGGGGTGGGTCAAACTCAGAGTCTTGCTGTGTGAAAGGGGTCACCAGTACAAAAGTTTGAGAACCACTGGGTTATATTAAGTTACCAGTGACTTTAAATTAAGCACACAAATAAGTTCAGAGCTGGTTAACGCATAGAGCAGTAGAAATGAGAGGTGCAAAAGCTGGCATAACTGCTGGGGAGGTGTTCAATATGGTGAAAGCAAACTTAGCAGGATGCTGGCAGAAAGGCTGAAGGGGCATGTCTTCAATGCAGGGAGTGCAGGAAATGTGGCCAGCTAGGATGCATTTGATGATGGTATGAGAACATAAGAATACAGGAACTCACATACTGGATCAGATCCAAGATTGGGGCAAAGAAATCATTTAGCTTTTCAGAAATGTTATCTTCCTTAATTGCTCCTTTTAAATTCTATAGTGATCCACCGACTCTTCTGCAGACTTCTGTTTCTAATATACTTAAGAATTTCTTGCTGTCTTCCTAAACCTTTAGCTATTTGCTCTTTGAAATCCATCTTAGCCCTCCTTATTTCTCTCTTACATGTTGCCTGTTTATTGCCCGTTTCTTGACCTCACCAGGGTTAGATTTCTAAACTGAAGGAGCTCTCTTTGGCTTACGTAACCTTTCAACCCCTGCCATTTAGCCATACTGATTTACTTATTGCCTTCCTGGTTTCCTTCTTCTTGTGAGGTATACGTGCCTTTTGAGACTCTATCATTGTTGGCTTAAGTAGTATCCCTGCTATGCTTTCCTTTACTTTTGAATTTAGGACTATTTTGACTCATCTCTTCATTTTATTGAACTCTCCCTTTCTAAAGTTCTGTGTCACTTTTTATAACTCACCACCATATGAACATACTTATAGTCCTATTGGCTACTCTCCCAGTGATTATGTTGAAGTCTGGGATAACTCATAGGAAATAGTAATACAAACCCCAAAAGTAACAAATTATAGGTTTAACAAGCTCACTGACCACACACACATGCACACACACATACTGTTTAATTGTTTGTGTTAAGTTTCAGAATCAATGCTTTGCCAGCTTGGTTTTAAAACAGCATATTTTCTGTTTTGATTTATACTGAAATAGTTAATTTAAATTTGTATTTTCATCTAACAAGTCTTCAGTAATTACCATATTTTCCATTATTTATAAGTAAGTCTTTATGTGGAAGCTAGTAGCTGAAAGCCTGTGCAACAGGCAGTTGGGTCACGAAATCCATTTGTGCAGTCTTCCTCATACAACCAATTAAGTTGTTGCCTGTAAATTACCTGTAGAGTAAGGATGGTGATTGGTTGGGTTACTGCTGACAGATATCACAATAGTCTAGGACTCTTGGCATGCCTTACTGTAGTTGTACACCACCCAGGTGTAAGTTGTAAAGTCAAACTGATTGAAAGCTTAAAAATTGAGAGTTTAAAAAATGATTGAACCTGGTGATATTCTAAACAAAGAGAACTCTCATCCATGTTTGTAGCTTCTTCTATCACTTCACAGTGATTCAACAGACATTTTAGGCTTCAGCATAATATACAGAGTGATGTTCCAGGAATATTATATAGATTATCATGCAGTCCAATCAATGACTCCCATAGGATTGCTCACAACATGTAAATCTCTGCAGGCTTGGGACCAAGGTTTATTATCAGGTTGATCCAAAACCATTTGTGTCACAAAACCATAATTACCAAGTAGATATAAAGTAAATTTAATGTATTTTCTAAGAAATATAAAAACTATAAAGTAGAATGAAAAGCATGTAATGAATCTGCTGGCTTGTTACTAGGTACCACTGGCTGACCTGGAGGGGAAAGCTCTAGTCAGTGGAGGCTACTGTTACCTGTTCAACATCCAGCTAGTACAGACAGAAATCTATAATTCATAGCATACCAAAAAAGGAAGTAACATCCTGAGACCAGTGGGGACCTGATTCAGGAAAGAGCCAGAGGCTGAGTGGAAACAGGAGCACCAGGTCAGAAGTAGCAGCCTGAGAACTGGCTATGGGGGAAGGCAAGGCAGCAAGGAGCTTAAGAGCTTGGTCTGAAAAGCTAAAAGTCCAGAAAAAACCCATGGTGTTAGCCCAGTAGTGGCCATAGCAGGAAGATACAAGGGAGTGGCCAGAAGGCAGGAAAATGGTGTAGAGGAATCCCAGTAATATTCTTATCTGTCTTTGTACTCCTGTACCATGCTGCGCTTAGTGGATAAAGTTAGGAACTTAGTTTGGTCTTTACTGTAATTGTTGGAGTTCTACCGTGGCTACTTGCATTTTCTGTTTTTGCCAATCCTACAGTTTTTTGGTTATTTTTTTTAGTGTTACTTATTTGAAACATGAGTATTTTATGGGAACCCTTGCCAATGGCTACAGTTTATACAATACAGTGCATGGAGGACTCACAGAGCTAGTCTCCAAACTTATAGTACAATGAGCATTTGGAAGGGACTCCCATCACAGCATATCCTGCAATAAGGTTGTCAATTGTTTTCTGCAAGTTGGCTGTATAATTTTCTTTGTGAAAGCTTAATCACAGTTTCCATTATCAGTAACTTCTGCAAATTTGTTAGATGAAAATAAAAATTTGAGATGAACCATTTCAAAAAACAAAAATAGTATATTTTTTTACACAGAATTAGAAAACTTGATTTTGAATTTTAACAAAACACAATTCTAAAGATGTCAGGGCTTTTTAATTGTTTCTTCATTTTCTGCAAAGTTCAGTTACTTGTTTTTGTGAGATAACACCATATAAATCAAATCAGAATCTCTTAATAAAGAATTTATACATAATGCATTTTTAGTACAACTCCTTACCGAAGTGGCTGTTACATTTCGGGAAAGTTGCTTTACAACCCCACCACCACTGTCCCTCTATGCAGAAAGGTTTGCAAACCGACAGCTTACTGCGAATGCCTTGGTCTACTTCCTCCCAGCTGTTCTGCACATCTGGCCACAGCTGGTTTATTTCAGAATGGAGCTGTGTGGGGGCGGATCTGCAGCCTCCTCTCTCCCTTCTATTGGCTCATCCTAATAGGACTCTCCGGGCTTGCTGGCATTTCATTGGCTTGTCTTGCCCCCTTCCCCGTGAGCTAATTGGAGGAGTCAGGATGGAGGGGACGGAATCCCCTTTGGTTTATTGGGAGGGGGGGAGCGGAGTCATGCCCAGTCACCTGCAGCTCGGGCAGCTGTTATGTCTCCGGCGGCTCACCCCCGCCTCTCGCTGCTGCTGTGGGCTCCGCTGAGGGGAGCTGGAGCTGCCAGGCCCGCCGCTGTCGGGGGAAATGGCCAAAGCGACACACACAAAGAACATGGCGAGGGAAGGAGGAGTCTGAGCCGACGGCAGCTGCGCTCGCCCGCCCGAAGGACGCTCGGGGGAGGGAGGACAATGCCCAGCCCTCTCTGGCCCAGCTGCCGCCCGGCTCCCGAGGGAGGGGGCTGTTTTCCCAGGGCTGGGCGCCTCCTCCCCACCCCTGGTCCGGGTAAGTGGCTCCCACTCCTGTCCCCTCTCCTTCCCGAGGGGGCGGGGGTGAGCCGCAGTGCGCCCCACAGCCGAGCAGCCCCCCTGCCTACGGGAACTTTGCTGGAGCCGGGAACTTTGCTGGGAGCTTGGGCTGCAGCCCGTCGGGAGCTGGCCCAGGTAGGGCGAGGGGGCGCTGCTCGCTCCTCTGGACCAGCCCTGGGCGTGCCGCTGCTCTGGGCGGCGGGGGAGGGCGGGCAGGCGCGCCCCGGACCTGCCCTGGCCGGGAGCAGGCACCAGTCCCGCCAGCCCGCGCTGGGACTCGCCCTGAGAGGCGTTTCCCGGGGACGGCGGCCTCGTCCCCCGCCCGGCCGCCCTTGGCCGGTGCTCTCCCACCTGAGGCGGGCGCGGGCGGCTCTGGCCGTCTGAGCTCCGCTTGGGTGACCGGCTTCCCTCGGGGAGGGGGCAGCGGAGCCGCCGCTGCAGCCGGAGAAGCAGCCGCGGCGCCTGGGAACTTTTCTGCAGGGCGTTTGCAACTTGTCTGAAATGCGGCTGGGGCGAGTGGGCGCCTCTGATCCCCCTCTCGGGTCTGGACTGCCGATGGCCCGGGCTGCTTCCCTGCCTGCCCCTTCTCTGCAGCCCCGCCGGGCAGAGCAGCGGGGGCGAACTCCAGAGGTGACCCCAGAGGTAGGAGCAACCTGTCTGCTGGGTCTCATCTGTTGTGGTTTGGTTCCAGCCTGCCCCGCGCTGTAACACTACTCGCAAGTGCTGCTGAACAGGACGCCGCTGGAGTGAGATCTGCAGGTGCAGCGACTGGTACTTCAACCCACCCTCGCCTGCTTTTTGCCCCCAGCTCTGGTTTACTCTGCACTGCATACAGGAGTTTTCTGTTTTCTGGCAGGAACAAAAACGGGAGCAGGTAGAAAGAAATTACGTGTAGCAACTATATTTTGACAGGTTTCAGAGGAACAGCCGTGTTAGTCTGTATTCGCAAAAAGAAAAGGAGTACTTGTGGCACCTTAGAGACTAACCAATTTATCTGAGCATGAGCTTTCGTGAGCTACAGCTCACTTCATCAGATGTTGAACTCCAATGTCCTTTGATGCCTGACCCATAGACATTACTATATCGTTATACTTAGCTGAAAGTGTCTGAGTTTAAGGAAGGCTTGAAAACAATTTGAAGAGCTGCTTAAAATGATTGCGTAATTTCAGTCTTAAGGATATCTGACATCTGCATACTTGTGTTTTGTAACTTTAATTATGTCTAGTATTTATCTGCGTTAAACATAGCTTTACTAAAATATGACCAAACTTAAAATCATCTGTGGCTTTGATCCTCTGAGGTACCATAGTAACATATTCTTAACAGATGTTAGTTTGTGTAGATAACCATCCAGAGGAAAAATAATCTAACCATGCCTCATTTAAAATAATTAAAAGTTAAATTATTTTTTAAAAAATAATTTATGGGAGTGGGCATGCACAGGCAACATCAGTGTGCAAAAAAACCCTCAAGATAAACTACATCAGATCTACAAAAAGAAAAGGAGGACTTGTGGCACCTTAAAGACTAACCAATTTATTTGAGCATAAGCTTTCCTGAGCTACAGTTCACTTCATCAGACTGCAGTCTGATGAAGTGAACTGTAGCTCAGGAAAGCTTATGCTCAAATAAATTGGTTAGTCTTTAAGGTGCCACAAGTCCTCCTTTTCTTTTTGCGGACACAGACTAACACGGCTGCTACTCTGAATACATCAGATCTCTAACTCTGGAAAGTATTTTCTTACATTTTCAAAGTAATTCTACTTGTATACATTTACTTCAAAGTTTAATACTGCTGTCATGTGATTGTTGACCATGTAAACTAATCTTGACTGTTCTCAAACCCTCTGGAGTGTTTTCTTTTTTTGTCAGATTAGTATGTACAGCAACATCCTTTCTTCAAATCCATTATTTATGTTAGGAATTAAAACGTGCCTGTGGAGGAATGTGTAATGCATCATTATGTAGTTCTATCAAGTGCCATTACAGAAAACTGTATCCCTTTTTAATTACAGAAAAAGTGACTCTGCACTGTCTCCCTCTGTTGTCCCCTCATTCACCCATAAAAATCTTTTATTTTATATATTTATCTTTTATTTTAACTTTATTTTGAAAGTCTTGCTGATGAAAACTGGTATTGATATGATTGTTTTTGCGACAGTAGTTTCCTGAGACTAATCAGGGTTTGTCCCCCATTGTGCTAGGCCTTGTACGAATAGATAAAGGCCTACAATTTCAAAAATGACCAGTGATTTTGGGTATCCAATTTGAGATGCCATTAGGTGCCTGATTTTCAGAAAGTGTTGAACACCGATCCACTGAAAATCCAGCTTTAAGATGTTCCCAGAATCTCTAGCCACTAAAAACTTACCTATGAAGATAAGTGACAGTGAAGAGGCAAAATAAAATACATATGTGATCTTTTTAAAATCATTATTTATTATTGTGGTCACAGTCTCTTTTTCCAAACTTGTGACAGAGTTATGTTCTTCAAAAGTTACAGCCACCTAACCTACTAGTTGTGTTCTCAGAAGGCCTCTTCGTTCTAATGTTGTAATTTACTAGGCTTTCATCCTGTGAAACAAACTGTTTTTTCCCCTTGAGGATTAGAAAGAAATGAAAAAAGGGTGTCTCAGTGTACTTGATTAAACTAATAAAAGACAACTAAAAAAAGACAGCTTAGTCGTATTAAAGCCAACAACATAACTTATTTTCTGTAGATTAATTAGTATTTATCTATCCTATATGTGCATACATAAATTTAGGTTGTGTAGAATTTAAATGTAAAGATGACATTACTGATTTAGAGGGTGCCATTACACATTGACCAAATTTAAGAAGAATCTCTCTCTAAAATTTGTTGACATTTAATTGACCTTTTAAAGTTCATTCTGTTAATCATACTCAAAGCGCTGAAGCTATGGTTGACTGCTCTCGTGTTCTTACATTCAGTCGTGCTCAGCATATAAATTCTACAGCATAATTGCTACTTATTGAGTAAGAGTTTCTTTTCTTCTCTGAAAATGAAAAAGTTTTACTTTGCCTCAGGCTGGATACTTGTTGTAGAGTTTTGAATCAAAATTCTTTCATGTCATTAATTGTTGTGTAGGGTGTGGCCTCTAGTTAGAGAGTAATGGAAATTCTTGTCTCCTTAAACTGCATTTTTTCTCTTTCCTGAAGCATTTTCAAATAGGGAAAGGTAACCTTGAAAGGTTTGAAGGTTATATTTGTCTAGCACAAATTTAAATGCAGGGTTTCAATATTTTCTGTATAAACCTTCACGTTAGCGTCTTTTTAAAGTAAAATCTAGTTGTCTTAATAATAAAATTCTGAATATAAAAGGTTGGTTTTGAAAAAACTTAGATCTAAATGCTAATAGTAGTATATGTGAGATAAAACTCTTACTACTGCATTATGGCTCTTAGTCACAGGACTGTTTTTAACCAAAAATTGTACAGATACTCAAAATAGCAATATTACTGAGAAGCTGCTAGTAAGGGATCTAATTGAGGATTAATTTCTGTTATATCTATGTTCTAAAGGCCAGATTTGTAACCGAGGTAATATCTCCTGCTGTATGTCTTAGCGTTTCTGGGATTTTTGTGTAGTTTGTAGATTAGAGCTAAATTTTCTTTTCTTGTGTTCTTGCGTATCCAGTTTTACAAGTAATCTTTCTTTATGGTAAGAAAAGCATTAACCATGTAAATGCAGACAGTGAAATCTAATACCTGTCGTTCCTAATATCAATAGCCCTTCATCTCTGGGACACTACCATTGAAAATTAATTGATTAATTAATTCAATGCAAGACTGTACTTAAAAAGATTGGGCTCCAAAAGAGAGTGGTGGTTGTATGGATTTCTAAACTATTTTCTTGATGCTGAAAAAAGGAAAACCCCAGAACACTCGATCCTGAATAGGCTGTGTACATTGCAAAATCAGAAATTGGTTTTTCAGGCTCGTTCTGAAGTTTCAATCTTGCTACTGCATGGGTGCAGGCAGACCCCTGCATACTTCACTCTGTGCAGGGACTCTCGGTGGGAAAGAGGATCAACACACACACAAGATTTATTTTAAAAAAATACCTTACAGATCAGAAAGTTCTGATAGGTAACTAATTTACCACATCACTAGTGATCTAGGTGAAACACTAAAATAAAACTATAGTGTGTCTGTATTTTGGTGAAGTTGATGAAATAAATTGACAAAAACCCCAAGTAACTTAGTTTAATCATGTTGGTGTCTATGGAAGGATGAGCTAAAATTCTCTGTACTCCATAACTGATATACTTTCGTTTTGTAGTACTCCTGGATTATACAAATGCAGCTAAGGAGGATGATCCTACAGTCCTCACTATGAGGCTGATGTGAGCTTTGCCAGAATAAGGACTGTAGTATCAGGCCAAAACTAATATAAATTTCACTGAAGTATGTAAGGTTGTATAACTGGAGTAAAGTCCTATTTCTCAGGAGGGCCTCCTGTTGAATGAATAGTTTAAAAATAATTCCTAACACTTCATGCTCTGCCTGAGTTAAAAAGTTTCTAGTACAAGATGGAAAATGGCAAAATGTACCACATTTTCCTGTGCCTGAGGATAGTATTCTTTCCATGCAAGCAGCAGGAGACTTGCAAGATATGCAAGTGATAAAATCATGACTGACAGGTATTTCCTCAAAATAGAAGTGAATATATCTT